TAATTTTAATAAATACTGTACTACAAAACATTATTTTAAATGATGAAAGTGCCCCTATATTTATCTATATACATTACTATAACCATACACCCAAACACACACACATATATATATATACAGTCATTAAAATCATCTACCTGAGTATCATCATCTGCTTTGAGATTATAGGTGATTGTATGACCTGTCTAAAATCGATCGCTGACTTCATCACCTGTCTCAAATACATAGCTGAATTCAGCTCCTGTCTTAATCCATAGCTGTCTTCATCACCTGTCTAAAATCGATCGCTGACTTCATCACCTGTCTCAAATCCATAGCTGTATTCATCTCCTGTCTTAATCCATAGCTGTCTTCATCACCTGTCTCAATCCATAACTGTCTTTATCACTTGTCTCAATCCATAGCTGTCTTCATCTCCTGTCTTAATCCATAGCTGTCTTCATCACCTGTCTCAATCCATAACTGTCTTCATCACCTGTCTCAATTCATAACTGTCTTTATCACTTGTCTCAATCCATAGCTGTCTTCATCTCCTGTCTTAATCCATAGCTGTCTTCATCTCCTGTCTTAAATCCATAGCTGACTTCATTACCAGTCTCAAATCCACAGCTGACCTCATCCTCTGTCTAGAATCCACAGATGACCTCATCCTCTGTCTATAATTTACAATTGACCTCATTTTTTTTCTAAAATTCATAGCTGACGTCATTCCTTGTTTTTCTTTTTTTTTGGAATTTCGCGCAAAGCTACACGAGGGCTATCTGCCTTAGCCGTCCCTAATTTAGCAGTGTAAGACTAGAGGGAAGGCAACCAGTCATCACCACCCACGGCCAACTCATGGGTTACTCTTTTATCAACGAATAGTGGGATTGACCGTCACATTATAACGCCCCCACGGTTGACATTCCTTGTCTGAAATTCATTGGTGGCAAAACACTTTGTGCTGCTACACATTATAAAGTGCAATTATTTTTTCTTTCTTTTTTTGCAGAAAATTTGTGTTCATTCGAACAATATTGTAGTTTTCGAATTGTGCGACCTATAATAGGCAGTGTTATATTCACACCTTATTTTATAAATTCCGTTTTTGTCCGAAGCTTTTCATATTTTAATGGAAAATGAAGATTACAAATTTTTTAAGAGGTCTGTCTAAAAGCGATTTGGCAGTCCGTTTATGTTTTAAAAAATGTTCCTATTTGAATTGAAATCTTAGAAAAATCAAGTAGGCAAATAATTTTATATTTTGTACAAATAGGTGAAAGTTTCGGAAGGTTAAACAAATTTATTTATCAGTTATCTTGTTAACAGCTTTATCTATGATTATCGGATCGTATCCTCTATCTATGGCCACATGCTTAAAATGATTGATTTCATTGAAAAGGTCAACATCATTGGACAAAACACAAAATGCTCTGTAGGCTAGATTATACAACATGCCAAGTTTTTGAGATGAAGGGTGACACGAATCGACACATCTATGATTATCGGATCGTATCCTCTATCTATGGCCACATGCTTAAAATGGTTGATTTCATTGAAAAGGTCAACATCATTGGACAAAACACAAAATGCTCTTTAGGCTAGATTATACAACATGCCAAGTTTTTGAGATGAAGGGTGACACGAATCGACACGGTGGTTTCAAAAGGTTTCCGAAAAACTAACTTTTTCAGGAAACAAAAACTCATTTTCTAATTACCAAAACATCTAAAATAGTTAGCTGGTTTTTAATTTTCATTTGTAAATTTAGTGTTATCGTGTAAATTGTTTAATTGGTGTAAAAATTATTTTAACTTAATGTCCCCGTGACTCTACACCAATCACATTTCCCACTAATCTCGATCAATATTTTGGTTTAAGTGACAGTTTGGATTTGTTTATTTGTTTGAAAGAAAGCACAAAGCTACACAACGAGCTATCTGTGTTCTGCCCACCACGGGTATCGAAACCCGGTTTCTAGCGTTGTAAATCCGCAGACATGCCGCTGTTCCACTAGGGGGTCTACTACGGCGAGACAGTTTGGGAGGAACAGTGGTTTCAAAATGATCCATAAAAATTTCGCCAAGTAATGGTAAGAGGGGAGATCCCATAGGCAATCATTGAATATAAGAATATAATTTGTTATTTACTTAGAAAAGGGGGGACAAAGTTTACTCAAGTTCAGGATATCGTTAATTTCACGTGGGAAAATGCGATTTTGTTTTAACCTGTCTTCAAAACAACTAAAGGTGAATAAAGATACATGAACGTCATGACGTCATTATGGAATTCGTTTAAAGACCGTATTTTATAAATAAAGCATGTTGAATCTTTAATACAGTATGTATGTTGCAAATAAAGCATGTTGAATCTTTAATACAGTATGTATGTTGCAAATAAAGCATGTTGAATCTTTAATACAGTATGTATGTTGCAAATAAAGCATGTTGAATCTTTAATACAGTATGTATGTTGCGAGCATTAGAAAGAAGGTTTGTTGCATATAAAACTCTTAACAAAACTTCTAATCTTATTCTCTAATTAAAAGATAACAGCTTTGGACCAAAAACGGAATTTATGTTTGTTTGTTTTTTGAATTTCGCGCAAAGCTACACGAGGGCTATCTGCGCTAGCCGTCCCTAATTTAGCAGTGTAAGACTAGAGGGAAGGCAGCTAGTCATCACCACCCACCGCCAACTCTTGGGCTACTCTTTTACCAACGAATAGTGGGATTGACCGTCACATTATAACGCCCCCACGGCTGAAAGGGCGAGCTTGTTTGGTGTGACTGGGATTCGAACCCGCACCCCTCAGATTGCGAGTCGAGTGCCGTAACCACCTGGCCATGCCGGGCCACGGAATTTATAAACAAAGTGTGAATCCAACAAAGTCTACACCGGTCAGACAATTCGTAAACTTAAACGTCGTTTAAATGAACACTAACTTGCAGATCATACTATTAACCACCGTATCTTATGAGATCAGACCACATTTATTTGTTCTTCCTGTAATTACGCTAAATTGAACATAAGAGAGTCTATGGAAACAATTAAACACAGATATTTTTGGTTAAATAAAGACAAAGGTCCAGAAATTTCAGCCCTCCAGTTGTCTTTGGATTAACATTGTACGGACATGTATACATGTATATTTATTAACAATATATTTTGTACATTGTTTTATACTTATGTTGAATGTTTTACGTTATGTATAGTGTATATATATGTAATTATTGGTATTGTTTCATTTAAGTAGTATGTTAATTTTAAATTGGCATACACCACGTGTTATAGGAACTTGTTATTTTAACACCTGCCACACGAGCCAACCCGGCATCTTGATGTGAATAAAAAAAAAAAAAAGAAGCCGTTCCGGAGAGATATGGGTTGTCTGATTAGGCAAAAAGATGACATTTGGTACTATTTTCGAGGTAAGTAACTTGTAAATGTAAAGTAAAACTGTGTAGCAATGAAACGTGCTTGAAATGTTCTAGATGTTGTTATGAATGTGTTGCTTTAAGTGTAGCGGTTAATCTAAACCATGGGTCCATATTGGAAGAGGGAAGAACGTATTCAAAGATATCCCAATCGGTTTGATATACCAGCTGAATCGTAGGTTCGTCAGTTGATTACTGCATTAACAGCGAAACATAAAGAAGCGCGCACGATAGTATCGTTATTTTCAGAAGGGGGGGATTAGAATCATATACAAGAAACCATTAATTTTAATATTTTGTGAAAGTAACAGCACAGTAAAGCCCGAAGATGCAATGTTGAAGTTGAAACAGATGCACAGTGCATTACAAGATGATTTCCCTGGCGATTCTCAAACTCAAAAGCCCGGCATGGCCAGGTAGTTAGGGCGCTCGACTCGCTATCCGCGGGTCGCTGGTTCGAATCCCCGTCCCACCAAACGTGCTCGCCCTTTCAGCCGTGGGGGCGTTATAATGTGACAGTTGG